TATTTCTTAAGGCAAGAAATTGTGAAATGCCCCATGTGAGGATGTACTCTATAGCATTGTATACAACTGAAAATAAATTCCACAGGAATAATATAACTTATAATAGGTTAGATTAGCTATATAAGTGGTGTAGAACAATAAAAAATATACTAGAAATATAGCAAATATTACAAACCCAAATTAGATTTTGAAATTAGCGTATAAGCCGTATAATAAGCCGTACGGCGTATACAGCAAATTTTTCACTTTAAAATATGGATACGCAAATAGAAATACGTGCGTATATTTGGGACTTCTAGACTACATACGATCCGGTGCGTATGCGTATAATACGCAACGCTGCGGATCCCTAGTACATAGCAGTATGCAAACACCTGCGTCAATTACAGCATCATTAGATGACGTCATCCAAGTCCATCGTCTGCTTCCGATTGATCATTGAACCTTCTTCTACTGTGCTGCAATGTCATCCTCTATCCTCATCGCTTCAAGCTCAGTGCATGGGAAGCAACCTCAATGAGCAGATTCCTTACACTAGCAGGTATTCCGACGCTCCGCCAACTCTACGCCAGCGGGTCAATCGTGCCGAAAACAACCTCAAATGCAAACCTAAGGTTCCCCGTTGTGGAGACGTATCTCGATCGAATTTCACTCATGTCAGTACAAACCTTGTTACTAGAAATATATTTGGGGACTGATCGAAACTATCATGCTGTATAATCGTTATTTTGCGTACACGTCTTACTGTACTGTGGCTACTAAAGACAGGGAGACATTACAACGCTTGAAGTAGATGTCATTGTGAATGCAGCAAATAAAAGTTTGTTGGGTGGAGGTGGAGGTGAGAGCAAACTGTTTCTGGAGTTGTATAACGTGTGACGTGGACTGATTGTTTTTGGTGGATGTTCCTGTGTTCGAGAAGTTGATGGCGCAATTCATCGTGCAGCGGGACGTCAACTTCTGGAAGAATGTACGCCGCTGTTATTCTTTTACAGGATTTAGTGGCCTCAGCTTAGTACGTGGCGTATTTAAAGGTAGATTATTAGGTGGTTGTGATACTGGCGACGCAAAGATAACAAAGGGCTATAACCTTCCTGCGTACGCGACTTTTTTCTGTTTTCCTTTTAATGGGACCCAGAGACGGGATGCTGAGTTTTCGTAAATCCGATGGTGCAGAAAACACGTCATTCATACAGTTGGGCCTGTTTACGCAATGAGTAAAGCTGAAACGAAGGCAGTTCAGTTGGCTCCATGCTATAGGCGGAGTCTTTCACTAGCAGTTGAAAATGCACTGAAGAGCATCGTATGTTTCTTTTACGTCTCTGCGAGTATCTTTGTTACTGATCATGGGACATTCAGGCATTCCCGTCGATATCAACGGGTATTTACGGCTATCCGATTGAAGATGCAACTAAAATCGCACTTGAAGAGACGCGTCGCTTTCTCGACACTGATAGCGGTAAAAATGTTCGTAGTCACCTTCATACCCTACGTTGAATTTGATGTTAAGGAAAGATGCAGCTCGAGCGTGTCGTATTCACAGTGTTCAGTGATGAGGACAAGGACGTCTACGAGTGAGCAGTGTCTTTTCCTGGCAAATTTCGAACAATTACGTTAAGCATCGAAATTTTACATTTGCGCTCACCAGGAAACTCATTCCGGATTATTTCCCCGCATACCCGCCCGGCGCGGAGCAGCCGTAAATGCGTAACGTGGAGATTTCGAATCCGGCGTCGAAGCTCGGCATAAGCTACAAAGTTGTAGTCTTTTTCGAACGCTTCGAAATTCGCGGTGTGTCGAAGCAGAAGTTTCGTGATGTGCTAAAAGCTACTTGTTTGTGTATAATAGCTTGCAAACTTGTATGAATGCTTTTCCTCGCTTCGTCCAGTCTGTGCAGCTCGATTCGAGGTTACATAAGCACTTCCCGGCCCGCTTCTCGTCTTCGTTTCGTCGTACGATTATTGAGTTAGCCTGCTGACCTACTCGACGCAATTCAAATTTCGCCCGGATTTCTCGACTCGGGTGCTCTGCGTGTAGAAACGGTCACTGCATCAAAGAAAGAATGTAGTAAAGATTCACCGTGCTTGATCCGGGGCTCGATTCGGGCTTCGGACACACACGAGCGAGAGCGCCGGGAGATATAAAGTGGACTTAGATGTAGTGAACCGGGTGCTCAACGATACGTTTTTCAAGGATCGGGGAAGTTCAAGCTCTACGAGCGCAGACTAGGAAGATGGGTCTTGTATTCAACGTTTTTGCTGCATCTTTCATAGCCATTGGTGAGTTCTCAAAACCTGTCAAATGGTCTTCATGTTCAGATACTTACTAACTCTGGTTGAAGGGTCATTTCTCTTTGGGTACGACATCCGAGTGTTATCCGTGGACTGACTACTGTTCTTACAATGTTGCGATGGAATAGCTATGACAGCGGAATCATTGCCTCGGTCATCACGATGAGCCATTTCAAGAATTTCTTCCACAACCCGGCTAGTCCGATGATTGGCGCAGTTGTATCTACTTTCACTGGTATACTTCGCCTTACGCATTAGAGGGAAATACTGACTGATGGTGGAACTAGGTGGATGCTTCTTTGGTGCTGCAGCTTCGGGTTGGTGGAACGATCGGTTCGGGAGGAAACGGACGATTCAGGTATATTAATATCTTGATTTGCGCAAATGTGCAAAAACTAAGGCATATTCGTAGATAGGTTGTATTTGGGCTCTTTGGGGATGCGCGATGCAGGGTGGTGCAAATAATGTCGCGACGCTGCTTATTGGACGTATTGTTGCAGGTGTCGCTATTGGTTGCTTGTCGATGACAGTTCCACTTTACAATGTTCGTCTTTCGTTCGTGGATGTTGGAACTCTGATCCTATGGATCTTTAGACCGAAATAGCGCCTCCGAAAATTCGTGGATTCATTGTTGGTCTTGCACAACAGATGATTGGCATTGGATTCGTTGTTGCTAATTGGGTGAGTCAGGATGAAAGTTATGGAATTTTACATTTTGTCTGATTCGAGTCTTTCCAGGTTGGATATGGTTCTCAGTTTATCGACTCAAATACCTCTTGGAGGCTGCCGTTATCTTTGCAGGTAACTCACCTCGCTATATGCGTTAGTCTTCTCTAATATAGGAAATTATCTAGCTCATCCCGGCCTTCCTACTCCTCGTCGGAGTGAACTTCTTGCCATACAGCCCTGTCTGTACCTTTTCTTTGAAATTTCCTCTCTTGTCACTGATCCTCTCTCTGCTATACAGCGCTGGCTTCTTGAGAAGAATCGTGATGACGAAGCACGTCTCGTCGTCTACAGGCTCTACGGTGTTAATAACGAAGAAGAGAAAGCAAGGGCGGATGAAGAGTTTGCCGTCATGCACGATGCGATTAAGGCAGAGATGATGGTGCGCAGTCGGAATATACGGGATTTGTGGGTGACGCCAGCGATGGTGAAGCGTACACTCGCTGCATGTGGAGTTCAGATCTTTGGGCAGTTCACAGGGATAAACGGTATGTGATCTCAGATCCGTGGATTTATTAAGCTGTTACACTGACACACGTCTATGCGATAGTCATCAACTATTATGGACCTATCATGTATGAAACGCTTGGACTCAGCCCAGGAAAGACCTTGCTTGTGCAGGGGATCTACGGAGCTGTTGGGCCTATAACGAACTTCTTGTACGTTTCCTCACAGGATCACACATCTAACGCCTTATTAACGTTCTCCTCAGCTTCATTACTTTATTCCTCGACCGAATTGGTCGTAAAAGGCCACTCCTCTTCGGTGCAGCGACTTTCGTCTGTACATTCTCTATTCTCGCTGCGATCGTATCTTCCTTCCCACCAGGGGCGACACAAAACCTCGCTGCCCAACGTGCAGGCATCGCAATGATCTTCCTCACCTCCATCGTCTTCTCCCTCTCCTTCGGTCCAATTAGCTGGGTCCTCGCGTCAGAAGTTTTCCCGACTCGTACACGCGCACTTGGTACCGCTGTGGCGACGTGCTGTAATTGGGCATTCAACGTATTATTCTCGGAGGTCTCCCCTATTGGACTTGCGCATTCGTCGTCGAAGTTCTATATCCTTTTCGTGTGCTTGAATGCGTTTAGCTTTGTTGTTATTTTTGCGTTTTTCCCGGAGACGAAAGGTGAATACCTATTCATTTCCGTATTGCATTTATTGCCGGCAAGTGGCAATGCTAATGGAAATTGATAGGGAAATCTTTGGAAGACATGGCAGAGGTATTTGGAGACCAAGTCGATCCCGAAGAAGTGCTTGCGAAACATGGAGCTACAACACTTGCCCATCGCTACGAAGTCGAAAGTCACCATGAAAAGGCAGATTATGCATAGAATTTCTGTATGTTTTCCATTCAAGTCCCTGTTGTTCGTATAACAAGACTTGCACTGGCCTCTCGTCCTTCCAATCTGTCTTCATCGTGGTTTATGTGTGTCGTGCATGGCGCCTCACATACAAGCTTGAGGGCTTGGATTTCCGTTATCGAACGCTGGGTCTTGAGAATAGTGGAGTCTTCACATGCTACAGGCATTAGAGAACTCTTGTCAGAGTTACAAAAGGGATGGTTCGAGAGTCCGTCTAACTTGAAAACGCTTGATTGCTGTAGCCTCGAATCTGAAAGCTAGTTAATATGAAAACATTAGAGCGCCCAAAGCAAGGCTGTCACGAAGTTTGTCGTTGATACGGAGAAATACGCAGCACTTCTTAAACATACAGTCTCCCCCATGAGGATAGCAAGCTAATGTGTTAGTGAATATACATCCGCTACTCTAAAGCCCGTGAGACTAGCACTGCACAGAAGTTCTTAATGTCCAGAGTTAAATTCAGAAAATTATCTGGAGAGGATGCGGTAAGCATTGGATTCTGTCAGGATTTCGACAAAAATCAAAACGAATAAAGGTGTAGAAGAAATCAGAGGTTGGTATGCAAAACATGCATTGGTTAAAGCCGGTCGTTAATCGCCCACCTCCCGGAGGAGCTAACGTGAATACGTTTAAGCCTACTCGGAGGTGTCATATGGCCCCGGCAAAGTTCATCACAGACACATGGGGAGAAGGTACAGAGAATGTAGCACTCACCTGGAATGGCACACGACACCAGTATGCAAAACATGTATGAAAGATGCAATTAGATGACGAAGGAATATATCTATTGTTTGAGACTAATCAAAAATGTCGTCCTCATCAGTGAGCTCGTCTCCGGGTTGAATGCCTTTGTGAGTCACGTATCCTGGTCGTCGAGCCCAGGTTCTACCGTCTGTGTATGGCATGACCCGCAGCGGGAAGAGTAATGATCGATATGGGCTGATGAGATTGAGAGTAGTGTTAACGATCGTTATGGGACTTCTTGAAAGCAAGAATTGTACGCACTATCCGTCTGATCCAAGGTTGAAGAAGAGTTCTAAGTTCTTAAGTTTCCTACATATGAAGGTAGTAAGTACTGATGTGAGGAAAGAACCAAGGAACTTACCCTAAATCATAGGAGTTCTCAAAAACCTTTAAGGATGTGCGGTTAGACGATCAACGAAGGATCGAAGTACACGAGTTAACTTACCTGACCCCGTTCTTTGGCTGTCTTGCGATACACGTCATGGTCGTGCGACTCTACTGACGTCTCGCCCTTACATATGCTCCAAACATGCCATGATAGCATCACTCCCACAGCGAAGCAAAGTACGAGGGACAATATGTAAATCAGCGAGAACATGATTTCCGGTGTCCAGTTTGTCCAAGTCTGGAGAATCCGATGAGTAAGGAAAGTGGATAATAACGGATGCAACAAACATATGTGAACCCCATGGCCTCCCACATTTTCTCGTAACCGAGAAATGCGAAACAAAAGGTTGACAGGACAAGATATGCCCTTCATTCAGTACCTTGTTAGCAGCAGGTAATGTGAGAAAAGTTATCTGACCGCTCACATGAATAGCACGAAGTGTCTTTCATTGTATAACCCAACGCATTGATTTATCCCTAATTCTCGTAAGACATACAAGACTATGAAATTCGAAAAGCACCTACACTAAAACAAAGATGATCAGATATTGTACAGTTGACAAAGACGTGAAACGCACTGGGCAATGATGATCATATTTTAATACGCAGTGATTGCATATCCGACAATGATGTGCTCGCTAGGACACAGCTTACCAAAGTGAGTCAAAGAGCAGAATGTATGTAATAGAGCTCACTTCTGGTCGTATTTGTCCGCAACGTTTACAGCGCGAAACATGTGCACGTGTCATATTCAGCTGCATGTCTTCCGACCAATGCACCCCTGCTGAACCATTTGTCCTGGGCGCGCCCGATTTCCTTCGTTTTGCCCAAAAGAAACTTTCACCTTCCGTGCGAGGCGGGTCATCAATAAAACCAGGTTTCACGGTACATGCAAGGTAATATTGCCCAAGAAGGTTGAATGCAATGAGCGCGTCGATTGGGACCGTGAGAAGCGGCCATCGTATGCTTGGCTGAATAGCTTCAACTGTGCGTACCGATGCCAATTTTACATCAGATATTAAACCGACATTACAATATATATAATACTCACAGAAACAAAACACGCCCAAGCACAATAGGCAGATGGCTAATGTAACGAACAGAGGGCCTGCTGCACCCGTAACTCTATCCGTCGTTCGCTCCAGACATCGAAAACATCGGAATACAGCATTTGAGCACATATCCATGCAAAGTAGTTGGTGAAAGAGGTAGTAAAGAATGCTGTGGTGAGCGCTAACGGCAAGAAGAGCTGCCGCGTCGAAACGCGTCCTCAATGTGTGTACATTGTTTGCACAGGTTTTCTCAATTGCCTTATATGGAGAAACATCAATACAGAATAATACGAGTTGCGAACGATACTACCAAAAGAGTCCATGTAAGTTGAAGTATGACATTTGTTAGAAGTAGATATGGGGAAAGATTGAAATATAGATTTATACAGAAAGGTATGAAATGCCTTGCGCAAATCCGGCGGAAAAGAATATTAGAAAAGAGAGGAAACTAAGTTGGGATAAAGAAAAGAAAGGCGTTGCTCTCGACAGAAGCGAAAAGCAAAGGAGCATGTGACTCTGGCACTTGTCTTCGATACATTCAATTCGTAGTGACCTTATGGCTTTGTCAGTCAACATATAAACGGGAAGACTAAAGTGTGTTAGTACTCACAACGTTCATAACGAACAGGCAAGCTTTGTAAGGCTATCGGGGATGTGTATGACAGCCAGTATGGCGTCAATGACTTCTTTGCATTTTTTGTCCATCGTTATTTGGCGGTAGTGTGAATTGTCGTTCGAGTCCCTTTGAGACAGGTCTTTGGAGTACTTGAAGTTCTACAAAGCCGCCTTTTGTACATTGGCGCTCAGCAGGCAAGTACTATTCTTGATTTCCTAGCCCTAGCCATGTACGCCGCCATACCCGACGACGTTCTCGGGCTTGATGTATTACCGCACTGCTTTGCAAGTGCCATGCTAGTATTTCGTCGGAAATTTCTTTCTTGAGAAACGTAACGAGAGTCGCGGAGCATAATACAAGCGCAAGAAGACTTATGACTTGGCGGCGTATTGAAAGTAGTCTGCACAAAGCATATACAACAGAAGGCGCTGAGTATCAATCAGAGCCTCGACTCTACCGTAGCGGAGGGCTGTGAAGCGGGATATCACGCAATGCTGACGGATCGATTTAGTTTAGGGTCTTCTGCACAGAAAGTAAATGCCTTATTGGCACGAGGGCGAAATGGAGAGCAGTATGCGAAGTAACTGGACATCGATCTTCCCACCGGTTGCGCAGTAGAAAGTAGCTGAGAATGTCGTAGAGCAATGAGCAATCCTCCGCATCAATCTCGGAGATTCATAGCAAGTGCGATTTATCTAATGACTGTGTTATCTTCGCGCTTAAGTTGATGCAAAGTATTACAAGTCATTAGGTGGTGAATAATGACAATGCATTTGAGTAACGAGACATTAAAGCACTTGAAGCTTCGTGCTAAGCAGCATCGTAGAAAGACCTAAGAGCAAGTCGGAGCGAGAAGTCTCCGGAGAGATCGTAAAACCAAGAGACGGACTCCCACCGCAGCGACACAATCGCACCGCCTACGAACTGTTCAGCGCGGGAAAGTCCACGGCGCCGAGATCGGATCCCAGTCTATATTGAAAATGTACGAGATCGCACCGAGTCAATGATGCCCGATTCACTAAAATCGTCAAGACGAGCAAAGCCAGGGGCTGACGAGACGGAGTCTAATACCTTTACTAGATATAGCTGCAGCGCAGTGATCGGACCGCCACAGGAGTTGATGGGGATTGATGGGGACATGCTTATACACTAATGCGAAATGAATAAAAGAACTTCCTCTTTACGTTCGGTTCGAACGCCTTAGAAGCCCCGAATTTCTCAGTACACGTTTTATTCATATCTTCCGAACCGAACCAGCTTTGTCGGTAGGCAACGGTGTCATCACAAGTGAGCTAACGTGTTTCGAAACATTTGCGGACTCCCGGAATAACGTGCAGATCGCCAGTCCTAGCGCAGCGTCGAGCGCGCGTGCTCGGTGGAGGTGGTGCATTTTGATTCATTAAATAGCAAGCAAGGGCCTAACGCTTCGTCTGGTTGGACAGCAAAAGTCGCGGAATCTGGGAGTTTAAGTAAATTAATACAAGTCACCATTTCCAGACGAGTCACCTCCGAGCGCAATGTTTGGTGGTGATTCATTTAAAGTCACGATACTTGAAGAAGACCTCAGCTAAATGTCTGGTTGGACAGCGAAAAGTCACGGCCTCTGGAAAAAATAAATTTAAAACACTTTCGGGGTCGGAGTCTAAATTGCCGGCGACAATTGGGATTTCTCTGTGCTTTTCCTACCTACGATGCTCGACAGCTTGGCTCCCGACTTTCAAGGGTTTATCTTATACTGTAGAGTCTTTGAGACGTAGAGCAGAAGACTTCTGTCCGGATGCGCGAGTCGGACTGCGTTTCATGGCTTCGTCGAGTAGATTGGCCTGAGAACTTGGTCATTCAATGCTCCTTACGGCCCGATCCGACAATTCAGTTCCAGTAAATTTAGGTTATCAGACAACCTGGACCGCACGAATCACCGATATTAAAAGTAGCAAATGCCGATGCTGGAAATGCGTGGACCTGCGCTTAATAACGTTATCTTCCGGACCTATAAAACACACACTCGGCGTGGAAATGTCCTCCCTCGAGGCTCGGACCCTTGCTCCGCACCTTTCGTCCGCCGTCTAGTGTTGCGTCACTGCAGGCCCTATAGTCTCCATGACGGTAGATGAGAAACTGAAAGATGTGGAGAAAATAGCAGTCGGCGACTCAGCGGCAAATAAGTCGCGTGCCGAGGACTTTCGACTACAACAACAGCTCGACATTGGAACAGTCGAAAACGCTGTCTTCAGACAAAAGTGGTGGCAACTATGGTAACCCTTTTGCCTTGCATCTGTTACATCTACTCGACTTGCTTATACCGTTGCTTTAAGGCGCCCTCGAGATCCACCTCCGCCCCCTCGAAAGAATTTAGAAGACGCTCCGGTAATTATCCTATGAATGATTTGTGGACGGAGTCTTACTATATGCTGGACCCAGATAATACCAATCGCCCATGCATCTATTCTCTCCAAGCTCACATACTCCTGGATCACGGAACTTATGGTCTGTTCTATTCCGTTCATGGAGAACGATTGACTTATCGCGGAACACAGGTACTCGGTTACCAAAGGTCGCTACAGGTTCCAGACCTTTGGAAAATGGATCCCTCTCGTGAATCGGGAGTACTTTCGTCCAAGCTGGATGAGGCCTGGGCCCGGCGTGTGGAGGCTGCTGACGACTGGAATTGGCGCCTTGCAAATGGTGAGGCCCAGGCAAACGTAGTGAAACGCGTCGGTTGGAGCATTCGAGCATGTTTCCCAAGTTCCAGCGTACCTGGCGAGTCATACGCTGAGAGACGTGATGGCCTGGAACGTGAGTGGCGTGACAAATCTGGTATTGCTGAACCTAGCTTAGCGTGGGCCCTTAACGATACGTTCGGGTGGCATTTCTGGGCTGGTGGCCTCTTCAAGGCGGGTCTCTCCCAGCGAAATGCTATCTGAGAAAATAACTTAATATATTCGCCTTGATTTTAGGTCGTGGGCGATACCTCACAGCTTATGAGTCCTCTCCTCGTAAAGGTATGTCCCTTTAGATTGTCCTGGCGTGTAGGGGGAGTAACGTGCTGCTTGACTTCAGACAATCATCAATTTCACTAAGGAGGGAAAACATACCGGCGCACAAATCGGACGTGGAGTGGCAATGGCAATCGGCCTGTTTTTGCTCACCATATCTTCTAGCATTTGTCAACACCAAGTTCGTCTATTAGACCTTGCGGCATCATAAGTTGTTATTTTCATTAATTGATTGATGGTTTATTAGTTCTTCTGGCGCTCAATGTCAACCGGTGTTCTCGCAAGGGCGGCCTTGATTAGTTCAATTTATAGGCGCGGTGTCGCACTCACTCCGAAAGCTCGAACCAAGCTGAACAACGCAGCGCTGGTGAATCATATTTCCACGGATGTCAGCCGTATTGATGCTTGTTCCCAGTGGTTTGTGAGTACTCTTTCATTTCATCTTGAACAATACAAAAAGCTGACGGTTTCCAAAGCATGCTGGTTTGTTTCGGTTGTCATACTAAAGAGTTACCTTGTCTAACTGATTGTTTTTTGTCAGCATGGACTGCACCAATACAGGTCATCGTTTGTCTCATAATTCTACTCGTGCAGGCATGCTCAGTCCGTTACATAAATGCAAGACACGGGACTAAATTTTTCTTGCTATAGCTCGGCCCCTCCGCTCTTGCCGGATTTTCGCTCTTTGTGGTCATGGTTCCTATACAGGAGCGTCTTATGACGTTCCAGCATACGCGTAGAGAGAAGGCGAATAAATGGACGGATGGACGTGCAAACCTCATCCTGGAAGTCCTTGGTGGGATGCGTATCGTAAAATACTTCTCATACGAGACACCGTTCTTAAAGAGTCAGTACGATATTCCATTCGATAATCATCCATCCTAAAGCCTTCTTCTAGGGATCTTTGATATACGTACCAAGGAACTGGATAAAATTCGAATGATCCACGTCTCTCGGGCTGCAAAGTTAGTTTGGTGCTTGTTTATTGTTGTTATTAGAACAATTCACGACCTTTTTCTAATAGTATCGCTTTGGCGTTCTCTCTCCCGGTTCTCGCAGCGACACTTGCATTCGTCACGTACACAAAGACTACTTCATCCTTCGATGTCGCCATTATCTTCTCATCCCTTTCTTTGTTCCAACTCCTTCGACAACCCCTCATGTTCCTCCCTCGCGCGTTATCTGCAATTGCTGATGCGCGGAGTGCTCTGACGCGTCTGGAGAAGGTCTTTCACGCAGAGCTCCGCGATACCATTGCTCTCGATATTGATCTATCCCTAGATGTTGCGCTGAGAGTGGATAATGCAACCTTCGAGTGGGAGGAGAGTGCACCACAAGAGTCAATTGGCACATCTGGAACCGGGAAGGACAAACACAAAGATAAACGAGAGAAAGAATTGAAAGACAAGCTTAATGCAATCGAAGATGAAAAGAAGACGGACGCGGTGCCGTTCAGAGTGCGCGACGTGAACCTAGTCGTACCGAGGGGCCAGCTTGTCGCCATCGTTGGGCCCGTTGGGAGCGGAAAGGTAGTAGCTGTTGAAAATTCTGGCTCGATTGTTGCTAACGGAAGTTTAGTCCAGCCTTCTCCAAGGTCTCATCGGAGAGATGAGAAAAGTTGAAGGTAGCGTCAAGTTTGGCGGACAAGTTGGATATTGTTCGCAAACGGCTTGGATTCAGAACGCGACTCTGGTAAGCAAACTGTGCCCTGTCTCCCTCATCACAATAGCTGACATCAAGTTAGCGTGAAAACATACTTTTCGGCCAGGACTTCGATCCTGACAAATATTGGGACGTTATTGAGCGTTCATCACTTCTACCAGACCTGGAAGTGCTTCCTGATGGCGATCTGACAGAGGTAGTTTGTGTTATCTATCCTATCTATTTTCGACTAAACGCTGCGTAGATCGGAGAGAAAGGTATCAATCTGAGTGGTGGACAAAAGCAACGCGTTAACATTGCCCGAGCTCTGTATTACGATGCGGATGTTGTCATCCTGGATGATCCGCTTTCCGCCGGTAATGCCACTCTTAATCCTAGTCTGTCCGATAAATTTACTTAACTTGCGGTTAGTTGATGCACATGTCGGAAAAGCGCTTTTCACAGATGCCATTCTCGGGGCGTTACGATCGCGCGGTAAAACAGTTATTCTTGTCACCCATGCACTTCACTTCCTCTCGCAGTGTGACTACATTTACACGATGTCAGCTGGAAAAATTGGCGAGCACGGCACATACGGAGATTTGCTATCCAGAGGAGGCGAGTTCGCACGTCTGGCCCGAGAGTACGGTGGCGAGCAGGAACGCGAAGAAGACGAGGCGACGGATGAGGATGCACCTACCAAAAGCACTAAGACAATAGGCATGGAACCTGTGAATAAAGAGAAGCTGAAGGCAAAACTAGATCTTAGCAAAGTGGCGGGGAAAGGCACTCTCGAGGGCCGGCTTATGGTGAAGGAGAAGCGTACGACTGGTGCTGTTCCTTGGCACGGTACGTATTGTGAGCCTTCTTAAGTTGCGAGTTGCTCACCAGCATTTTCCCAGTGTACATGACATACATCAAAGCTGGGAAAGGATACATCACCCTTCCTTTGATACTATTATGTATAGTCCTCATGCAGACTAGTTCGGTACTGAATTCCTACGCCCTGGTGTGGTGGGAGAATAAGTAGGTCATGTTAAAACAAACTGACGTCCTGTTTATCTCACCCGTGCGAAACTAGTGCATTCAACCGGCCATTTTCGTTTTATCAACTTCTATATGCGATGTTGGGCATTGCACAATCGCTGTTTACGTTCTTCCTGTAGGTCCTGATTGTGTAAGCGCTACCGTTCCGGAAATAACTTGTACACAATAGGGGATCATCGATGGATGTTCTTTCCGATTTCGCATCAAGAAATTTGCACCACGATTCACTGCGCAATGTCTTCTACGCGCCCATGTCATTTTTTGATACCACGGTGCGTTATCTTCTTAATAACGGTGTACCAGCCCTCAACGTCGGCTTTAGCCACTCGGACGCATTTTGAGCGTCTTCGGGAAGGATATCGATAGTGAGTCCTATGGTCTCTTGTGGGGGAAACGCGGAATCGTGCTGAAGTTAGATCATAGCCATTGATAATCAACTAGCTCGTACGTGTTTTCTCTCAACGTCACATTCCCACAATAATAACGAGTTCTCGGATAGTGTCGATGAAGATGTGTACGTACCGTTTTCCTTATAACGAGCCTACTAGTGTAACTCACAACTTGCAGTCACCCTCGTTATAGGAATGATGTTTGGTGCTATCATCATCATCACGATATTGGAACATTACTTCAGTGAGTCTGCAAAATCATTTAATGATGCTATTTATAACATTTTGGGACAGTCATCGTTGTTTTCTTCATAGGTTTCGGGTATAGCTACTTCGCCTCATTTTACCGTGCAAGCGCGAGAGAAATGAAGCGTTTAGGTGCGTGGGCTGTATGGATCGTTACTTCTGAGTAACCAACTGGATTTAGATGCTCTCTTGAGATCACTTCTATACTCACATTTCTCGGAATCCTTGACTGGATTACCGACTATCAGGAGTTACGGAGAAACAGAGCGTTTCCTGAAGGACAATCGATACTACGTCGACCTTGAGGATAGAGCGTTGTTCCTTACTATCACGAATCAACGGTACAGCTTCTGATTCCTTCGCTTTGCAGACATAACTAACTTATCACAGGTGGATGGCCATCCGACTTGATTTCATGGGTGGATTCATGGTCTTCATTGTGCGCAACCTTCGTCGACATTAATATTTTGATCCCGTGTTAACTATCCTCTAGGTTGCCATCTTCGCAGTCGTCAGTGTGTCAGGAATAAGCCCTGCTCAAGTTGGCTTAGTCCTAACTTACATTAGTGCGTCTTCAAGTATCCTACCTCAAGAGCGACTACTAACGACACTTCAGCCCAGTTAAGTCAGATGTGTAGTGCGGTCACTCGACAATATGCCGAAGTCGAGGTGAGTAAGATTTTGTTCGGTATATTCTGATACTGAATCGGGTGTGGTTGAATAGAACTACATGAACTCTGTTGAACGAGGTCAGTCTTCAGAAAATCAAATCTATCAGACAAATAATCAACGCAAATCCGTAGTCGTTCACTACAGTCGAGGGGACCTGATTGTACAAGAGCCGCCACACGAGATCGAGGATCAGAAGCCTGATCCTTCTTGGCCGCAGCGTGGTGAAATAACGTTCAATAAAGTCACAATGAGCTACAGACCAGGACTTCCCAACGTTTTGAAGGGGATCTCTCTCCATGTCAAAGGTGGAGAAAAAATCGGCATTGTAGGACGGTAAGTCAAATGGAAGTGGTATTTTTGTGTATTTGGCTAATATTAAACAGGACCGGAGCCGGAAAAAGTTCACTTATGTTATCCCTTTTCCGGATCGTCGAGCTGAATTCTGGCAAGGTTACGATTGACGGGTGAGCAATAGTGGCCGTTGAAATTGTATAACAACTCATGGCACTTCCAGCATCGATATCTCACAGATAGGCCTGAAAGATCTTCGGACAAAGATTTCCATTATTCCTCAGGACGTAAGTCCGGCATGCTTTTCGTGTTCCAGGCCGGCTCATAAAGTCATTCTAGCCACTCTTGTTTTCCGGAACAATCCGTTCTAACCTTGATCCCTTCGGTCTCTACGACGACGCACGCCTATGGGATGCGCTGCGACGAGCGTACCTGATAGGCAACGTCGAGGAACCAGGTACAGCGAAGGTTTCGCAGGAGATTAGGAAAGGTGACTATGACGGACGAGGCTCAACCAGTATTGTGGAGGAAGAAGCAGGCCCCCCTGTGTCAACGCTTGTCTCGGGTACAGCAACACCAGTGAACCGGTACACGCTCGACACGCTCATCGAGAGCGAGGGGTCCAATTTAAGTGTGGGCGAAAGGTCGTTGCTCAGTCTCGCGAGGGCCCTGGTGAAGGACTCTAAGGTGGTCGTACTAGACGAAGCTACGTGAGTGTGATTTTATTACCGATCGCCTCACTAAGAGGGAAGAGTGACCTTTTATTCCAGCGCATCTGTTGACTTAGAGACGGACAGTAAGATTCAATATACGATCCAGACGGAGTTTCGCGACAGGACGCTGCTGTGCATTGCTCGTATGTCTTCCCCTGCTTTCTTCTAGTATCCACCGTTCACCATTTCACAGATCGGCTTCGTACTATCCTTTCTTACGACCGCATATTGGTTCTGGATGCAGGCGAAGTCGCTGTGAGTTTTAGCTATTCTTGTTATGGCGCTGGCCTTACGCTTTCGCTTCTATTTAGGAATTCGATACTCCTGCGAACCTCTACAGGATGGAAAATGGCATCTTCCGTGGAATGTGTCAACGAAGCAACATTACGCTTGAGGAGATAGAAAAGAGTACCCTACGCTTTTGACGACCGTTCGAGATGCTTTGATAGACTGGTATAGATTTTGTATTCGGTTCTATGTTTCGCTTCGTTTCCATTGAATTGCGCGCTGCTTTCGAGATTCTTTACATTCCCAAAATAGACCCAGAATATATTAGTACCAATGGTGCGAAAGCATTGTGTTCGTGACACTTTTAAGAAGGCCTGGACACATGAGCAAGTACGTGTGCTTGCGGCTGTTATTAGGAGAAATTAGGAGAAATGAGAAGTCAAGATTCTCGAATTCCTGGCTCCAGGACGTCTCTTGATGGCTTTCTCGGCTTCGAGAGCAGCTTGTGTCTCCTCGGCCGCCTTCAGTTTTGCCGATTTCTTCACAATACGGGCTGCAGGCATCGTGGTAGAGACAGAGGAAAAGGTGACGATTCAGCGGGAAAATATTAGCCATTAGCATATTGACACCGGAAATGGAAAGCTTACGTGCTTGAGGGCGTCATTGTTTTCACAACACCTATTCATCTAACCATGCTGTAGTGTACTTACAGATGCTGTGAATTCTGATGAATAAGTACGTTGATCAATACCACCAAAGCACGTGTTGATAAGTGTAAATTAAGCACATAGCGGTAATTGACGAAACAAATGAGCACTCCTGATATTGGTACACTAAGGAAACAAAGGTATAGCACAGTGGTGATTTAGGGGAGAGTATGTGTGATCACTATCATTAGAGCCCCATGAAACGATTCTATTGGTAGCCATTAGTAACGGACAAGATGTCTCATAATAAAAATATAAACTTACTGGTGAGATTTCCATGTGTAGGGCGAAAACTTCCCCTCGCCTAGTAGCCGTCCAGCCTGATGCGGGAATTTTCCACACGCGTGGTATCTCAGGCGTTGGGGATACATAAAGGTATTTCAGTTTAGTCGTAACGTTTTTATCTTTCCCGGATGCGATCTTGCGGATCCGCCCCTTCAATGTAGTTTGACGCTCATCGAGAACCCTTGCCGCTCGCCTCCTGACATGCTCCATAATAGTGTTGATGTATTTATAGCCTGCAGCAGAGCCCTCGTGTTTCTGGGAAGTAGTCGTCTGAATGACATAGATAGTGGCTACAACAGCAGTGTTCGACACCACATCAATGTCTACGAAGAAAGCGTCAAACAACGGATGGTTGGGAGACGCTGGAATGCAGAGAAGGTCCTCGATAACATATTGCCCAACCCAGATTAGATTGTTATCTGGAAAGGTGACAGTGGCGGGTATCCTCTTGCGATTTGGAAACGGTTCGCGTGGTGCCGTCTTCAGATCTCCAGTTTTATACACTACATATGTATCCGTCACCTCAGTCATTTGCATACGAACCAAATGCTGTTGGACATTGGCAGAAGACATCAATTCACAAGCGAGAGACTGGAAGATCCAACCTGCCAGAGTAGAAGATTCGGGGAACAACCTGAACACGCTGACGAATTTCTTTGCCTCCTCAATCTTCAAGTGTCCCCAGGCAGCTTCGAGTTTATCTTTTATTACATCGGACTTGAACATTGGAACGAAGACGTCGTTTTTGGCAGACAAAGGATTGGAGTCTCTTGGTTCGATTATGAAGAGCTGATGGGAAGGGGCGTTCTCCTTCGTCATCGATTCTTCCTTTCCTATCTGCAACAGCGCATTCGTGAGCTGTCCAAGGTTTGATTTCCCTGAATTGATTGCGAGTCGGATGTTTTCGAAGAGGGATTTGTGGTCACCAATGTAGACGGCTTCGGTGACGTCGCGAAGCACATTCCCAAACTGGTAAATTGCGTCTTTTGCTGCAAGTGCGAATATCCTTTCCTCGTCGTGCCAACGACCTAGCTTATCTCTTGCAAACCGAACAGCATTAACAATCGCTGTCTCCTCCACATGGACACCCATCCTATCGTTTATATTCTTCTGGACTACTGCGTAAGCCGGCGGAAGTGCTTCTCTTGAGGCTTTTGGAAGGACACGCGAAAGGCCATTTGCTTCATCGTCAACTTGCATCATATCTTGGTCACTGTCGGGAACATCATCGGTACGCTCGCCTCGCCTACTGGCCTGGTCTTTTTCATGTTCAATTGCTTGCTTCAGTCGATAAATAAATTCCCCGTATCCAGCTTGGATTTTTAGTCTGCACTGGTAGTCAGTATTGCACTAGTCAATCCCATAAACATAGACGCACCCTTCCATCAACTCCTCGAATGTCCAAGACGGCATACCCCAGATATACCCCTGACGCTGCTTCAGCCAATAACGGTATCGAACTTCATTCGGCGAAGACGCTTGTACAGGGAATAAGTTGACACTACCCTTTACAAGATACGAAGGTGGCGGTGCTGCATGTAGATCGGAATCGATCAGACTCCACGTAAAGATATTTGGGTGCTCAATCAATATTGGATTTTGGCGGACCGCCACATAGACCCGTCCTTCAAAAAAGTATCGTGAAACGTCATTGTGATAGAAAAGCACGTTTCTATGTCGCATTATGCAACATATAAGCATGAACCAGAGAAAGGCAGTCTTCCCTAGATGGGTATTAGTCCGATTTACAAAGCAGGGAGAAACATGCATATACCTGTTCCTGGCTGTCCAGTAAGAACGATTCCCTTCTCTGGATGCATATCCTGGAACGCCTCGAGTGCATGCACCAGCTTCCAGTAAAAGTCCAGAACATACAACTTATTGCTAGTCTGAGGTATGCTTGGTAGACAACACTTCTCCTCGTCGCCAAGCCCCTCTTCGCTAATGGCGAGAGCGATGATCTTCTGCTTGAACATCTTTTCGTAGTCCTGTGCATACCAAAACCAATAGAACTTCTGCACAGCGGGATCCGAATCAATCCTGAAGCCATATAGGTCAGGACGTTTATGTAAATCAGACCCTTCTTCTGTCATGCCTGGAATTGGGAATGATTCAAGATGCTGTTTCGGCTCTGAAAATTTTGAGCCTGCATGAAGACCAACTAAGGGAAAACGATCAGTATTAGGGCCTGCGGATGGGACTTTAAGCCCATGCTTAAGCGAGTATAGATATGCAAGAACTTGATATTGTTCAAACAGTCAGCTAGGAGTAGGATAAATAAGCAATGGCAAGCATACTAGTATCAGAGATGATGATAATGTCTATCTTCGATTCCCTGAGGCCTGTCGGTCCTCCAGGGAAATGTTGCGAAAGAAGGGAGACATTGGGCATGGGTTTGATTTTAGGAAATTTGAGAACCCACTCCACTGCTCGTGGAAGGAATCCATCCTCCTCATCGGGTGGCAGCATCATGGGTATGGTGTCACACTGTGTATAGGCGTCGATATGGCAACTGCTTGATAAGATGAACATGCTCACCTTCAGAAGTTGGATTTCCCTTCCCATTATGGAGCTTCTCTCCTTGTACCTGTCAGAAATAATGTCTGCCAGTGTTTGAACCCAACCATTTCCATCTGCTTCAACGAGTATGGGCTGAGATATAGGCATATCGGGGACGTAGACGACGAAATTAGCTACATTAGAGCGGCAACATATCAGTTGCTTAATAGGCGCTTAATGAAGATTGAACCCACATGTGCATGACGCCATCCTCAGCGCTGAATGCTCTTGGTCGCTGGAGAAATCTAAGGAGTCATCAATTGCGTCAATCGTCCAGACTATTTACACGATTCGCAATGCTCGCACCCGAGCTCATTATGTGCGTTGCTATTGTCAAGAGTTACGGAGAGCGAAATGTCTGACTCCAACGCGCCTTACCGTAAGTAGCATGCATGGTAATGAGTCACCTGACCGAACCAGTCCTATCCCAGAAATTAATAATTTTCGAGATTCTTTGCATTCCCAAAAATAGACTGGAATATAATAATACCAACGATACAAAGGCATCGTGTTCGTGGCACTTTTAAGAAGGCCTGGACACATGAGCGAGTACGTGTGCTTCCGGCTGTTATTCGGAGAAATAAGAAGTCAAGATTCTCGAATTCCTGTTCTTCTACTAGCTGTTAAATTGTAAGTGAGCGGGTCTTGATTGATGGAACCCCGCTTTCCCCAGCGTCGAGCGATATGTTGAAGACTGTAGTAACTGTCGCCGCACTTATCAACCTTGCCTTGAAAGCCGTTGCTTTAAAGGATGATTCTCTGCTTGTAAACACAACTTCAGGTCCAGTGCTCGGTTTCCTCGACAACGCTACTACTTCCGTTCCTCTGCAGAAATGGTACGGCGTTCGGTACGCGCAGGATACATCCGGTGCGAATCGGTGGCGTCCCCCCAAGCCATTTGTGGACACTAGCGGCAACGTTTTCAATGCATCAGGATTTGGTCCTGCTTGCCTTCAGGGAAGGGCGGATGGTGGAAATGGGACGAGCATCCAGAGCGAGGATTGTTTGAGGATTAATGTGATCGCTCCCGTCAACGCGACGAATCTTCCTGTGTATATTTATTCATAGTACGTGTCATTCCGGCCTAGAATAAGATAGACTTAAACATTTGGTTTTAAAAAGCGGTGGGGGATTTGATAGTGGTGCATCTTCGGACCCAAAGATCGACGGCTCGTTCCTTGCTGCGAAGGGGATAGTATTCGCGAGCTATAATTACCGATTGTCACTCTGGGCATGGCCGCATGCCAAAGAAATTGCAGATGCCGGTGAGATGCAGAACTTTGGACTTCTGGATACCAGGGCTGCCGTTGAGTGGATCCGAGACAACGCGAAGGTTTTTGGAGGTGATCCAACGAAGATCGTCTTAGGAGGCAAGTGGACTTCATATGAAGCGGGTTGTCATAATCTGAATGTATTCTAGGGGAGTCTGTCGGAGCAGGTCAGTCCGAGCGTACTTCTCAGAACGCGTAATAAAACTGACAAAAATAGAAATGACGAACTTCTACATGTCGGCTTGGCCCAACGACCCAATCGTTCGAGGAGCCGTAATGCAAAGCTCTGATAGTGAGTTATTAAACTGTACTTCACCTGCCTACGCTAATTATTTTGTAAAGCATCGCAGCCACAATGGCAGCTCGGAAACCAACTCGAGGCGATATCCAAGAACCTATCCTGTCTGACGACCAAAGGCCAACTTGACTGTCTGCGAACCAAAAGTGGCGTTGCTCTTCAAGAGATCCTATTGTCGTCAGGGAATCAGTTCCAGCCTGTGATCGACAACATAACCGTTTTTAAGGACTATGTAAAACAAACAAGGGAAGGCCGGAGCGCGAAGATACCTTTGCTGATAGGGACTAATAAGGTGAGCAAGGCAAATCCGGAACGATATGTGTAACTTAAGCTGTTGGATAGGACGAGGGAACGTTGATTGTCAATAGCGAGCCGACGGCGTTTACAGACGAAAGAGCTTACCTGTAAGAAATAATTCTAAAGATTGACATACAGATCTATTGAATCTCCTGCACAGCATAAGCAACAACTTGAACTTCCCCTTCGCTAACTTCACGAAGGTTCTAGAGATGTATCCGAGTCCATCAGAAATTTATCCGTCGGTGTATAATGCTACATCAGCGATATGGAGGGACGCACATATGCTGTGCCTTGCGCATAATCTCGGGAAGTGGAGGACTGAGGCGCTGGGGCAGCCAGTTTGGCGGTATCACTTTGACTTAGTGGCGGATAATCTGAATTCTCTAGGGGCCTCGATAGGCACTTTCCATGGTAAGTCGATTGAATCGGAATGATATATATCGCACCAACGTTCTTGTAGGCGAGGATATTCGTTTCGTTATGGGGTGAGTCTCATATAGGCGTTGTGTCTCGCCATCCTTACCATGTTGCCACCGTTTAGGACAACTGCAACTATTGTACTCAGTCCGCCATTCATACCCGTAACCCCCTTCGAGCACAAGGTATCCGACTACATGGTCGAGGCTTGGACGAACTTCGTGAAGGGTAAGATAGTAATATCTAGAACGTTTATCATATGCTGAACAAGACGTTCACATAGACCCTACGCTTGGCCCAAGAATTTCTGGATGGGAAAAATACGACCCATCTAATAGAACAACGTTGGCAATCCTCGGTATATCCGATTCAGGAGCCATTCCAGGAGATCACTTTCAGATAGACGAGTCTTGCAAGTATTGGAATACTATTCTGACTATATATCCACAGGTCAGTAATTCAACACTACACAATAAAGAAGTAACACTAAGCTCGACTGAGTAGACTTTCCCAGCTTGCGGAAACTGGACGTGTTAGATAGCTTTGCTTCTTAGTGGTGGAACAGGGAAATTAATCAGTGTTAATTGCTGACCGTAACATTTGTGACTTGAACTTGCCTGATTACGTCAGACATATCGAATGTTTCCCTGCTCAATGGACCATGGTCATCTATCCAACTCCACCGACGACGACTGCAGAGCCTTGCCCCTCTCGCTATAGATCGCTTCTGTTCGCAAATGCAGCGATAGCTACCCAGCCAATGTTGTCCTCTGATGTATGAGAGCCGCAGATTCTAAGAGCTAGTCTTGTCAACGGTTTTCTGAGGTTGAGGAACGAGTCCTGAGGGAGGAACGGTTTGATCCAAGTCGGTAAAAACCCGCCTTCTTTCGACTCGGGCTTATCGTCTTTTTTACGGAAAGGAAGGGACACATTATCATATCGACTATTTCTTACATTTTTAATGCCACTGTAGGCTGCGACGCGTTCATTACGCGGTGGTTGTGCTGGGTGAGGAGACGCATTGTTTGTTGTTGTGTGACAGACGCGTGACGCCATTTCAAACTCCGATGCCTCACGCGCCTCCTCCCTCGAAACAGCACCGCGCCTGTATTCGTCTAGCCTGCTATCAGCAATTTCTGCTTACCACAACGCAAGTCGCGTCCTCGACGCGCTCCAAGCCAAGCGTTTCTTCGTATGCGATTTCTTCAATCGTCCGGTGGCGGCCTCGAACAACCAATGCTTCCTACCCAGCCGCCCACCTCAAGTGCTACTGGCGCAGCTAAACGAAAGAATGCTGATGATGCAGCTTTACTCGGAAATGTACCCAAGAAACCAAGGAATGATGTATGCACATCTTCTCTTTGATGCCGGTTTTGGTCTAAGGGCTGACACTTCAATTACCATAGCCAGAAAATGTACCGGAACTAAACTTACAGCGCAAACGTACGTCTAGGAATTGCGCTTCTCCCGTCTACGTTGCGTTCTGACTAGAGGCATAGGCATTGAAAAGATTGGTAATCTTGTCATCACCAGGAAAGTTCCGTCGACGTCACAATCCCGAGACGTCAGTCAAGAACCGCAACGACCTCCTTCCCGAGCCACACCTTCAGGAACCAATGGGCTACCTCCTGTAGCTGGCCCTTCAAAGTCAAGGTCTAGTTCCAAGCCTCCATCTACCTCGTCTGCAGGGATGACCTTTGCCCGGGTTCGGAAGAAAGGAAAGGAGCGGGATGTTCTGGCGGGTAACGTAGCTGAACATGAGGTTGAGGAGGACGTTCGACAGATGAACTCGGAAGCGGATGACTTACGAGATCGCTCACGAGCGAGTATAGCCAGCATGACACCCGCTGCAATGTCAATTGAACTCGAGTTTCCTCCTTCGAAATCTGGTGCTGTGGGAAAGTCCCGTGTACGACATTTGAGGGAACAAGCTGGTGCAGTGCCGACTGCTGACAGTACAAGTGAATTATCAACACCGTCACGGACAGGCCGTGATGGGGTCATGCCTATCGCAGATCAAGAGACCCCCCAAATCGCAAAAAACCGGCTTTTCCGTGGAGAGTCCAAACCACGCCCTGAACCAAGTACCTCTTCAGGAGGTGGATCTGCGAATGGAGAACCTCCAAGATTAGCAAGGCGAAGGAGCTCCTTGAGTCTGCGTGGGAAACGTAGCAGTTCGGCCTTTGAATCGACAGGAATTATCAGTAGGTTAATTCTTAGTTGTGGTCCTTCTATACTGACTTGGACGACAGCCCTACCTCATACTTCCGTTTCGGATACTTCACTATACAAGCATATTGACCCGGAACAGCCTGAAAGCGAACGCACTCGCCAGCTCCTCATTTGGGTATCATCACGTGCGAAGGACCCATCTGCTCATCGTAATCGTGGCCGAAAGTCCATCTCAAATCAGCCGTCGCGCGATTCTGACCTGCCTACTCTTCCTCCCGGTGGCGCCGAGCTTCTGCAGGAGATAGAAGATGAACTCATACGCCAATTAGCGGAGAAGAAGATTGACACTAGCGCATACTCTGGACCTTCTGGAGTGAATGGCTCATGGAAGTTAAAAGAGAATGAGCAAAACGTGAAGAACCGCGCTCGCGAGAAACTTTTCACGGAACAAATCGAGGAGTACGTCGGATTTCTTTCTTAGGCCTATGCTGTACTGATTTGAATATATAAAAGGCGTAAGAAGGAGGACCTGGCGTGGGCAGAGGTTGCACAGTTCTACAACGCACATCAGGCAAATGTACTCTCGGGCATCAGTCAAAAAAGTCGTGCTTCTTCTAAAGCTAAGGGCAAGCAAAGGGCTGGCTCGCAAGAACCAGAAAGCTTGGAACCCTGGGAAAACGAATTACCAGATGTCTTTCGAGGGCCTAGGGGGTATGACCTTGCTAAGCACTTGTTGGAAGTTGGTGTTGAAGGTATCGGGAAACCAGATTCTCGGCGAGAGGATCTTGAATACAAGGTGCCTAAGAGTACCTCCTTCACTATTCTGATTATTTCTGACATTTCGCTGCCAGGAGGACCGATTACTTGCCGCCGCTTCCGTTGCGCGTCAATTTACCCAAATAGCAGCGTTAGATCTTGACCGGCGATTTTCTCTTTTGTCTACTTCCCTTGCACAACGGACGTTACCATCATCCACCGGAGCCTCACTAAGTGGGCAACAAGTACTATCGAACTTTGTACCCGCAACGTCTTTACCCGCGTCTCGAAATCCTGCACTAGACGCGCAGGACCTACTGCGAGCGCTCACGCGAACGGATGCTGCTCGTCCGAGAGGTCAACTCGGTGACGCAGCTCGACGTGCAGCGAAGGATGTGCAACGAGCTCGAGAGTCGCAGGCTCATCAAACAGCTGAAGGTGGAATTCACGTATTGGAGCGGAAGCTTACGGACGTCCCTCCACCGACACCTCGGAAACCGCCAGGTACACCAAAACGTTCGACTACGCCTGGGGCCTCGCGACGGTAGACTTTCTCGTATACAAGCCTTCTCTTTGCTTCGCTCGTGTTCTCGTTCGGTGTTACCATTCTTTGACGCATCTTCGGTCTTCTCCCCATTTCCTTAGCTGCTCTCCTTGTTCGTACTCTGTTGCCTGTAGCACTTTTGCGAACTCGCTTCGCACATAATTGTATGGATCTGTATCATCTATTATTGCTGAGTAACTTTATTAGTCTCCAATGATTATGACGACGCGCAAATTGAATACATAAATTACGGGACAAACTCGAAGGCAACACAATGACGCCGTAGATTGGGGTGCTGCGGGCTGGTGAGTTCACGTACTGTATTCAATACCAATTTATTTTGTCTCTTGGAAGATTCCTTAATGTCCTTCACTGGAGTCGCTCGCCTCCGCAGTCGCTATTATTCAATTTCTGTCCGCTCTTTCGACCTTCATACAATATACATAATAAATTACAAACATCGAATGAGGCAACATATTATCAGCGTCTCATTAGAGCCGACGACTAGTACTCTGCTTGACGACGCGAGAAGGCCTGAGGTGCGTCAAGAGCGGGAATCAGGATCAGATTTCCTACCGGGTTCGTCTTGTAGTGATCCAGAGGTACGCGGGAAGTGAAGGTGTGGAGAAGTCGAGGACCCGGAAGGAACGAAGCGGCTGAAATAGACATGTATCTTGGAAGGGATCGAAGTGAGTTGATAATACGATGTCCCACGAACAAATCGTTTGGCAACTATTGGCTGCGGATGGATTCTATATTACTTATTAGCACAATCAATATACCTTTTCATTCCGGCTGACTCAAGGTGCGCCAACGAACGGACGAACAAACGACCGGTTGGAATTGTCCGTTATGTTTTTCAAAAACTTTGATATTCTGTTTCGCGAATCCGAATATCCGAAATGGGCGGCACACGAAGTTCCCACGGTTACGAGTCCAATGGGTTAAGTAAGCTTGACGCACTTTGTGCGCTTTACAGTCGACTTCCACTTGAGAGACCAGTGAATTCTGTATTCAATCTTTAGGTCGTTCAAACCAATCAGGCACGGCTGGGACTCCTCCCGCGAAAAAGTGAGTTCCTGAACTAATCATCGGGCCCAGGAAGGACCCCTAGAAATGAGGTGTTTATTGTCGTGGTAAGTAGGGTCAATCGGGTGCAATTTGACGCCATCTGTCAAGTTCGGACGCCGCCCCTTACCTTTGTCTACTGATGGATACTCAACTGAGGAGTACGAGGAATAACCTCAAGTGCCATCATCATACAATCTCACTTTGGCTATGGCATACATACCTTAGGCCTGATTTCTTCGTGGGACGTTTCTTCGCAAAGCAAGAGGTACAAGAAAAAAGATAACTTCCCGTTGCCTCTGGTAATCTCGGATTCGACTCGGAGACAGTTTTCTAAAGAGAAAATCCGAGGCCTGGAAATCAGGTGTTGAAATTACCATCGGAGGATAGCCACGCGAAAGGATCAGCATGATATTTACCTCGTCGTCAAGGTCGGGTGGTATCCCTGCAAATCCTCCTTGTCTCAATCGGGCCGGGACACTGATGTGTGAGATTGGAGCGCGCAACAGTTCAACTCGCAATCTCCAAGCATCTCCTGGTCTATCTCTTCTGAAAGCGCTGCTATCACGTTTCGCCCGCGACTGTCTCCCTTCTTTCTCTCGATGTTAGAAGCTTTGTGACGCCTCTGCGTACTTAACTACTGTCGGGGCTTCAGGCTAACTAAGCTGTCTGCCGTCCGCTCTTTTTTCAAGACCTTCGTTTTATCCACACGTTCTTTTCTCCACACGGCTTTTTTCACTTTTCCTTCGACAAAACGGCATGGCACCGTCTACCATTATACAAAAGCGAGCATCGGACGCATCGAGCTCACCAGACGTCGATATTGGCTCCCTCCAAATACCCATTTACGGTCTCGTCGGGATCGGAATAGCGGTCGTAGCCCTGATCAGTCTTGTTTTATGTCTCGGCATCAGGGCTCATAGAAAGCGAGCAAGAAGAAAGAGGGAGGAAAAGAGGAACTCTGCATTCTTGACGGTAAAGGGAGTCGTGAAAGAGACGTACGTGACTTCTAAGTAATACTTTCGGACATCATTTGATGAATGCCCCCTCACAGATCCCTTGGGATGAAGCAAGCTACCTTTTCTCGTGCCAACCTCACAGCGTCCGTTGTAATGCCTGACAAGGCCATATTCCGGCCAGATGCAACACGAGATGACATCGTTAGTTTCTACTCGGACCAGGGGAAGCTGCCACGTCCATTTGCTCCCTTTTCCTTCGCCCTTAATGTAAATCAAGCTGTAAATCAGGCCCCCTCAACGGCCTCATCCTCCACCGAAATCCCGGACAAGCGTGTCTCAACGCTCTCATTTTCTGCGTCCGCAGCCCGTCTACCGAATTCGCCTGGCCGTTCGCGTGAGTCGACGCAGAGCAGCACGCGGGACTCCATCAGGGAGTCGTTCTTCGGCGGCCGGCACGCTCGAACGGGAAGTGCTCTATCTGGAGGCTCTCGTTTCTCCGCATTTTCCACTGGGTCATCTACTGCCAGGAACTCAGGCTCGGCAGCCGGCCTGCAGCAGCGCACCGTGCGCCAAGTGTTCACGCCAATTTTACCAGATGAATTCACACTTACGCTCGGCGAGCGTGTTTCAGTGCTCCGTTCTTTTGACGACGGATGGTGTATCGTCGCGAGACCGAAATTGCAAAATGCAAATGGCACAGACGCTGAACTTGGCGCAGTTCCTGCTTGGTGTTTCGTAAAGCCATTGAAGGGGTTGCGTTCTGAGCGGCCTGTGCGCAGTACGAGTTTAGGAGTTACGGTGCAAGTGGAGCAAGAGGATCGGCCGCGCAACGATATCATCTCGTGGTCTAATTTCTAGCCGTTCGGAATTATTCTCCATTACCTTTTTTGTTATCTTCCTCGGAGGAGGTATTGCTGCGTGTATATGCTGTCTGTCTCGATGACATCTATCAATTTCTTTCTCCACTCGTTATGGTCGCCCACATTACATTTAACTTGATCTCAGACAGTTCTACGGAGGATTTTCACTCTTTGCTTCGCGTTGCGCCAAATGTGCGTCACTCCCGCCTTTCCCTTCAGCTCTGCATCTCAGGCTTTCAAGTTTATAATTTCTGTTGATTCCTGCAGGTCAAGCTGTACATTATTTATATCCACCCCGCAACATCATTCTCTTTCCGTATCACACACTTCATCCATTGGATATTGGATTTCACGTCTTTATTAGTACCTTGGTGTCACTCTCATATCTTTATCTCTATGTGTATCGTAGCTGGCGGTCTGTGGATTACCTGCTGCAGAATAAAAAACCTTTCTTGCAGAATAAGATTTATTAAGTTACAATTGATTGAGTTCATTCACTGCTTGGTGAACTGTTACCTAGTAAAAGAACAATCCATCGATGAGAAATAAGAAATAAGGAAGGCTACATTCGATGGGAAAACGTAAGACGACAACCTATTGCTTCATTGAATAATGCGTGCTGTTGGCCGCAGTGCCTGCCGTGAACATCTGTAAGGCACGTGCAAGTGACGTATTATTCCTACAGGACTCGAATGACCTGACCACGCAACACACGTTATATTGTCTCTATTTCTCATTCACCATGTCCCACCGCTATGTTGTCTACCTGTCCTACATTGACGAGGGCAGGGCTCGTCCCTTTCATGTTTCAGAGGACGCAGAGGTCCAAGACGTTATAAATGAAATTCGTCAATACGTGGAATACAAAGATGCCTTCGAGAACAAAATTGTAGACCTTTACAAGGTCTTTCTCCAATGTCTCTTATTTTGTCATTGTGCCGACTGACGATTGACGTGCAGGTTGACGCACGGGTTGAAAAACTGTATATCAAACCAGCTGAGGAACTTCATGAAGATGTCGCAAAGTGCCTTCCTGGCATTCGAAGGCGTCAGCCGATGCAACCTGCACTTTCTCTTGCAGAGTACTTTCCCAGCGGGCCTGCACCTAGGATGCAGAAAAGAATTGATATTGTAGTTGTGGCTGAATCAAGCATGTATTCTGTTTTCTACTCGTCCACAAGTTTCAGCCAATTCCTCGCGAGTTTGACTAATCTATGTATGAAGGGGTCGTTCCGGCCAAACGCTCGCTTCCTAGTGAAGCGTCTGAAGTAAACGGTATGTCAGGACAAATTTGCTGCTGACAGGTACAGGATCTTTACATACACTTAAAGTCGGGCGTATCAGAAAGCTTGAGGAAAACGAAGCTATTCTTTGGGATCAACTTGCATTTGGTTTGCATAATTATTTGTGGGGTCGAAGGGATCGATTGGAGGAGTTCCGTGACTCGAAGGACGATGAGGTGCCGGGGGTGGGACCGGCCCGAGGCACCTTTTTTAACCTGACGCGCCTACCGTTTTGGCCTCCTGCTGCTGCAGTAAGTCAGCTGGCGATAGGCTTGACAGAGCAGTTCCTAGTCCGAGATGAGTACGAAGAGCTTGACAAGTTTATCACGGAAGGCGGAGACAATCACATTATACTTACCGGCCAACCAGGCATAGGTTTGTACAGTAATTTTTACAACGACCAAAACACAATCGTGATCTTATAACTAGGCAAAACCGTCTATCTGACGTATTGCCTTTTGTGCCGCCTCATGAGGAAAGAACGGACCATTTTCATGTTGGATACTTTCAGGCGTTACTTGTTCCGGGACAAGGGCGCCTACAGGCTTCCAGGAGACTTGTACATCACCAACGATCGCGAGATTTTACAAGAATCTTCGACGACGCTTGTCCTATATGACTGTAACAGCAAGCAGGAGAAAGCGACGGATGTTTTTCAAGGGATAAAAACGCTAATCTCAACATCGCCTGAGCTGTCACGATACGATCGATTTGATAAAGAGTCTTATACATTAACGTTTAACATGCAAACATGGTCATGGTCAGAGGTTTATTTATCTTGGTAAGAACACACCATTTTCTCTAGCATATTAGCACTAAAGTACGCTTCTAGCCATCTAGCTAGACAGCAACGCTCTCCAGAAGAACTGGCTAAAGCATATAATAGATATGGAGGGTCGGCACGAAACTTACTCTATAAACCAGACTACTGGGTTGAGGAGAGGCTTCAGAAAGCAATTGCTCAGTGCAAAAGGCTCGACCATATGATTTCTTGGCAACAGACAGTGTCAACACAGGAAAGCAGTCAGGTTGTTCAAATCAATCCCGTTGTGGAGAATAATAAAATCAGACGATCATCAACAACTACATCGATCATCTCAGCAGAGATTTTGGCTAGGCTCTGTGATGCAAAGGACGATGAATTCATTAGGCAAAAGTCATATTTCTTATAATGTATTGTAGACTTTGTAAAGTAACATAAGTATTGTATATATATTGTAAAACAATTATAAAGTTTGAATAAGACATATTAATGTACATAAAGGTTACATAAGTGTTATAGATTAATACAAACTATTAAAAGTATTATACTAACTTTGTATGATAACTAAAAGTATTATACTTGTATTACATTTATATTATAATTTCAAAGAAAGAGTGATATTTACAATATAATAATGTTATTATTATTATTATTATTGACTTGTAATAGATATAAAAGACATATTAATGTATATAATAGTATAAAAACACATGTTGTATTATTATTATCTTAATAAAAGTGTACTATAAGTATATAATATAAATATTATACTTAGACTATTTATACAAATAGTTTACAATATTTGTAAAAGATATTTTGTCTACTTTGTAAGAATTACATTTCTGTGTTTAGAAAGCTATATACATGTTATATTATTTTTTAATAATACAAAAGTAGTTTAATAATTTTATTTTATAATAAAATACAATAAATTAAATGTTTTATTAGTTGAAACAATATTAAAGTCGCTTATGTAATCAGCTGCTAAAGATCAAGAGTATATAATAATACATTTCTCTTCTGAGTCTTTATTACTTCTTTACCTTCTACCTTCTTTATTTTCTCAACCTTTTACTCTTAACTCTTATTACTTCTGTTCTCTCTAATCTAGTTCTTTACTTGTAAGGATTCTTTAACAGGCTCTTAGAACAGTACTAGTAGAGTACTAAACACTGAGCTTAAAGACTGTAGGACACACAAGGATTGACAGGACAAAAGTATCTTTGTTACAGTCAGTAAATAAGAACTCAGAGTATATAATAAGACACACCTTTGTTATAGTTAGTAAACAAGAACTAGTGTAATAAAGGTGTAAACATAAGCTTTATATACTAGAGAAGAAAGGAAAGTGGCTCAAGCTAAAGGAATGTGTAATACAAGTGAAAAAGGAAACTATATGTGTAGCTCAGGGTCAGAACTAAGAATGAGTAGCTTAGGGCTCAGGACTAGGAACTGTATACATAGTTTAAGACTGTACAAAAGAGTTCTGGAACAGAACACTTAGAACCCTCAGAACTGTAGTAAGCTGTATAGTAGGCTTACAGCTCTAGCTCTATATTTGCCTCTCTAATCTACTATTACAATACCTGTACTAAGTCTCAGATCCTGTATTAATACTAACTAGCTAGTTATACTGTCTTTTTTAAGTCTTTATATTAAGTGTAAGTAACTACTTTGTTTTATACATACTATATAAATACTTGCTAACTTTTTGTCTCTCTTCTACCCTTCCTCTTACATTACTTTCTATTTATTGTCTTTTTCTCTTTACCTTCCTTTTTACATTTTGTACATTTGTATTTGTTAGGATTGTAGGATTGGACCTATTTCATTTTCTTTATATCTCTGTCAGTTTTATAAAAAACCAACATTACTACTGGATTTTCATAATCCTTAACATCTCATCTATTGTTCTACAAAGTTTCATGGAGATTGTCTTATTATTGAGCACAGGAGAGAGCTACAAAGACACAAGGTAGTGTATACAATTACAATACAGCTAATCCATTTCTTACTCAATATAGTAACTTGTGCCTCTTTTGTACAATAGCCTCTTAGTCTATATTCTCTAATGTGTAATACTCTGTTAATTCTTCCTGGCCTCTGATGTGCCTGTTAGCTTTGTAATATTTGTCCTTATTATTTCTTTAATCTTATTCTCAAGTTTCATTCCTTACTTTACTCTTATTATTTAGTTATTATAAAAAGCAGTCTGTAGATACAGTAGTTCCTTAGTTTTTTGACTCTTCTTGTATTCCTACTCATTCTCTTAGTATAAATCCTAGCTGGTAGCTTTGGGAATATAGTTGGATTAAGGGCTACAGGTCTACATTTGTAGTTGAGAGTACTATCAACCTAGAGAACATGTCTCCCCTAACAGTATTATTAACATTCATATATATTTAATTCTAAGACACAATCCTCTCTCTAACTCTGTACATACTCTTCTTCCTTACTTATTCTATGTCTGACATTACTCTTAATAGGTTTATTTTACATATATTTGAATTTCTTAAAACTATAAATAATACTGTATACTCTTTACTTATTCTGTCTAAGCTAAGTCTGTTTACACTTTCTACTTTACTTTCTTTAAGCCAGAATGGTCTAGAGTTATACCTCTGTAATTAATGACTCAGTTTACTGTACCTTTTATTAAATACTATAGTTAGATTAGAGTATATATATATATATAAACACAGCTTTAGTACAGTCTGAATCAGCTTGTTTAATACTCTGAATCTTAACCCAGGTACACTACCCCTCTCTCTCCTTACTACACACAGTTGTAACACATTTATCTCTTTACTTTAATTATATACACATACTAACAATTTCTTGCCTATTAGTAAGTTAATATTTTAATCTGTCTCTTAAATACAATCTTAATCTTTACAACTTATATAACTTTACAACTTACAAACACACACAATCCAACTTGTAAGAACTGAGCAGTAATTAAAGCACAGTAATAGGAGCTATATTAAACAGTCTGAGAATACACTTGTCCTCTTTTGTTAATACACTTATTATCTAGTTCTCTCAGCTTTATTAGATTATTTCTTTAATTATTGTAAATAATATTGTACTGTATATAATATTTCAATATGATTAAAAACTGTTATTTTTAATAACAAACAGGTATAAGAAGAAGAAAAAGAGACATTACAGTAAAACAATTTGAGAGCTTTATAAATAACATTTACTATAATTAACAAGAGTTATTTTACCTTGTTATCTAGGAGATCCATTATAATACATTTTATATACTGCCAAGGAGAATACTTATTTACATTTATAAAATAAACAAACCTTTCAGAGTTTATATATTACTCTTAGAAAACAAGATTCATTTCAAGTGTTTTTACTTTATTAGTATTATTTTCACTTATTTTATACTATTGTAAGGTAGAACGAGAATTTAGACTTTTCTCTGATGGCTCATACTCATTGCACCAGACAACAGCCCCTTCAATCTAAACTTGACTTGACTAGGTCTGCCTTTAGTTTGATACGGAGGTCCGTGGACTTTGAAATAATCTTTCCGTATTTGTCCGGGCTATCCTTCGCGAGTTGCTTATAAATATCTATGGCCTCGGTAACGACCTCGTGTGCCCGTTCTTTCCGGCCTATCAACGAAAGTCGTACAGCGTATTCGTGCAAGGAAGACGCGAGCTTTTGTTTGTAAACCTTTGGATTGTCCTTCGCTAACCGTCTGTAAATAGTTACAGCCTCCTCTGCTGATACTAGTGCCTCCTTCCGACGTCCGGCCTTTGCAAATGCGATAGATTGAGTGACTAACGACTGTGCTAGGCCAGGTTCATGCCAACGGGGTTTCTGTTCCACAAGTTCCTTAAATATCTCGATAGAACTTTCGATAGCATTAAGAGCATCTTTTTGTTGGCCGAGCTTGGAGAGCCGCAATGAGAGCATTTCGTACGCTCGTCCCAAATGAGGTAAATGTCTGTCGTTCGATTGCGCGAGAGCTTCCCATTGCTCTACAGCACGATTCGCGGTTTTGAGGGCCTTTTCGTGCAAGCCAAGCACCGATTGCCTCTGTGACAGCTTGTCGAGAGACCTCACGAAGTTGAACTTGCATTTGCCTGATCCAGAGTCATGCTTTCTGAGCGTGTCCCAAAGGTCTGCAGCTCGCAAAATTGCCTTCAGAGCTTGCTCGTCACGTTTCATCACGTACAATCTGTCGCTCAACGCAGTAAATGCTTCTGCTAGAAGGGCGGCATGCGGATTCAGTTCGCTGTCACTACTGCCTTCGCTCTCCTTGTCGTCCCCATCACCATCACCCCCGTCATCGTCGAGCTCGTCATTGCTATTATCCGAATCGTTGTCATGTTCCCCAAGCCTATGATTATGGGCATCATCTTTTGCGAGCCACTCAGCGAGATCAACAGCCTCCTCGGCGGCCTGTAGCGCATCTTCGCGGAGCTTTCGATCCGCAAGCTTGGAAGAATACATTAATAGCTTCCTTATTATATACTCTGCATGCTTCTCCAGGTCTTTTTCCGAGATTTCGCGTCTTACTCGAGCGTGGCGAACTTGCACTTTAAGTGCCTGCTGGTACTCGTGAGCTCCTGATAACCTCGAGCAGAGGATTTTGAGCGCCATCGCAAGGTAGGGCTTGTACTTCTTTGGGTCCTGTTTCGCAAGCTCCTCCTGGAGTTCAACGACCTCCCGACGTACGTTCAAGGCATCTTGACCCCTACGAAGTTTCAACAGCAGAATGGAATAATTCTTAAGTGACTCTGCGAGATCGAATGTGTATTTCGTGGGGTTACGCTCGACCAGCACTCTCCGAATTTTAACAGTCTCTTCCATTGGTTCAAGAGCTTCATCGTTTCGACGAACTCCGGATAAATCGAGTGCATATGTCATCAGCGCCGATGCAAGTTCCGGCTCATATGCCTCCGGATCTTCAATCACGAGTTGCCTATAGAGTGAAACAGCTTCTTCGGAATGCTCTAAGGCTTGGTCTGGCTGTCTGTTCTTCCATAGTCGTTTTGCCAAACTGCGTAAATTCGATGCTAATAACGGTCTAAAGGCCGAGGGGTATTCATCTGTAAGCTGACGAGTCAGTGAGGCGCACATTTCGGAGAGCTGTAGTGCCTCGGAAAGCATGTCCAATTTCTGTTCGAGCGTGATTGCCAATTTGTTGGCCTTTGAGATCCACGTTGTTACTGGGGTACGCGAGTCTGGGTCACGTATATCGTTGAGCAACTTCAGGGTCTCTTGTACTGCTTCGTCCTTAGTCATAGTCGTTCTCTTTAGCTGTACCTTTGCTTTTGAATGCTCGCGCTTCTGGGATTCCTCTATACACTCTTGGGGCTCTATATGCTCTTCTTGGCCTTCAGACTCGTCATCGGAAGCAGCCTTGGAGACCTCTGGTGTGGGAGACTGCATGTCATTTGAACTCTCTTCGTCAGAATCATTCTCCTAGAGTCTTGTGATTAGGTATCATGCGTCTAGATAAGAACGTGTCACCTACCCAGGGTTCATTCTGTAGCTTTTCTCTAGGAGAGAAGTTGGAGACGTCTGTTGTATGGCTGCGTATGTCAACCGAACCTTCCTCCTGAGATTATACAATCAGTCAGGCAACGTTTGCTAGGTTTGTTTCGCTTACCGAACCTACGCTAAGGGCTCCATCGTCGAGGGAGCTCTTGGGAAAATCTGGTGTAAGAAGCTCCATGTCTCCTAAGCCTCCTTCGTCCAGCCCGTCCTCCTGGAAATCGCAGTCAGAAAGATATTGAAGCTACAGTTATGACAGTATTACCGAGGATTTGTCCTGCTTCCATTTCTGCCCTCCCTCGCGATATCTAGATTCACCACCAAGTCGCTTGAAGCCCTTGCTAGACTCGTCCTCGGGCTCCTCTTGTGAATCAGTACAATCAGCATCCTCATCCTCCTGTATTTGAATCTGAACTTCTTCTTCCTGATCCAGCCCGCGCCAATTTCGTTGGCCAACCATTTGATTGCCTAGTGACCTTTCGAGTTCAGCTGCAGGGCTCATGAGTCGTGCATGAATATGTCTAAGCTCTACTCTTATGTTGATTTGGTTCTTGTTCTATTAATTTCTCAGACCCACGTCTGTATCGAAGTCGCGTTACACAAGTATTCCAATAAAGGCGTACCTCGAATCGCCTCTGCGCGAGGTCTGCCCTCTTCTCAAATTCGATGAGTTTTTCTTCTATATCTCCAACGTTTATCCTTGTCTTGTAGAAGTGTTTTACCTTTCTGCGGAATCCCGGTTTCTCTTCAAATAGCTTCCGACAATCGTCTAAGAGCTCGTTTAGATCGCTAAAATAATCTCAGCCATACGAGTTTCCTATTAGAAACTAGGGATCGTACTTCTGATAAGCAGCTATCTCCTCGTCTAACTCCGGTATCGAGTCACCTATACCACACGAATCTCGAATGTCTTCAAGACATTGTATGTCGTCCACCAGGCGGAGCGATACATCCATAAGCGTCTTCCTGTTCTTTGAATGCTGGTAGGTTGAAATTAAAAGTTATTTGAGATATTGGTCAAGCATTCCATGTATGAGTGTCCGTACCTTCTCAATGAGACCATGGATGTATTTTGCTGCGTCGAGGGCCGTAAGTGCGTAATCCATTCTGTCGTTCTGGAGAAGATGAGGCAGTTAGTGTCGGCTGAATACGTGTTGCCTGATGTGTGCTTGCTAGTTCCGCGGGAGCGTCAAGGCTATAGTAGGATTCCGAGTAATACCATACCAGCGAGTCGGTTGAAGAGCAAGTCCGTAACAGCCAAGTCAAATCCAAGTAGGCCCAGCAAGGATGCACAACTTAGAGTTCGAGAGTACAGGTCCCAGATGCTGCTCCCGTAGAGGACAGAGACAACCGTCCACCCTAGCCCACCGCCCACTGCATCACGTTACGACAGAGTACACGTCCCGTGCGACTCCGTAAGCATTCAGCATCAGAAGAGAACAAAAACACAGACTCCGCAGTCACCATTTGCAAACAAGTAGCATCAGGGTCAATCACCTAAACATTTTGTATTCAGTGCCCTGCTGAAATTTACCAGTTCGTATCATCAGAATCATCTGCAGATATAGTATACGTATCACACAGTCGACGGAGGTCGGGTAGCTCGGCCAAATATTCGCATTTGATAAGTGAAGTGTTTCATTCCTTTGCTGTGATACCTGATGGAAAGTAATGTACTTGTGTAATCGGTGAGTAGACATGAGAAAGAGAACACTAGTACTTACAGAGTTTTATTTTTTTGTAGCGAAAGGAATGGAGGTGCAAGTTGTGCACCAACTTGTGCCTCTCGGCGAGAATCTCGCTGCGAAGATCACTCAAAATAGGCAATGCCGATCTTATCCTAATTTTATCCGTGCATACATAGTCTCATAATTTCTGTGTTTTTTTTTTCGCAATTTCAAGAAACAAAAAAAAACATCTTTAAATTCTCACTTTTCCATATAAACATCTACATTACATAGAAACTCTGGGAGAACGCGTTACTAAACGCAGAAAAAAAAAGCACTCAAACGTGCAGCCAAAAAAACAAGCGCAAAAAGAAAGGGAAAAGGGCAAACTAGAGTCAGTTAATAATATGTACAGCCGAATAGCTCAATAAAGAACTAAATTGCGGTATAATAGACACGTACGAAACGGAACGCGGTTGTCAAGCATAAAAAAATTGCGTAAATGAGTGACGGAGAACGACGACAGGCGGAAAATTTTAAATGATGATAAGAGTGATGTCGACGGCGTCGGTATACAGAGCATAAGGGATGAAGGAATCAGAGAGTGTAGTAGTGGTAAGAAGGGAGCTTGGGGCACTGTACAATGAGACGTAGCATTCTAAAACGATACGCCTTTGCCCACGGCCAGAGCTAGACGTATTTACGCGAACTGCGCTAGCGCGATCTGTTACCAAAAGGGTGGGGATAAGGGTGTAGGAGTGGGTAAGCGCGGCGATAACGCCTGGAAGACAGGTTACGCTACGCAGCTAATAAATACGTAGGTTTCATGAAATCCGGGGTAGCATGTCGACGATGAAGATGAAAGCGTCAATTTTGCTTTAAAAAAGAGTCCCTGGGAGCGGAACAAGGGAAAAAAAGACTAGCAGAAAGCGGAAGCGATAACAGTGAAGCGCTGGAAGGCAACTTCAATAGTTACGATAGATAATCAGTAGAGCATCATCATATGACTGAATAAGTTAATCAATTCGCGGAACCATGATGTTCAATATTCGTCGGTGGTAGAGGGAACTCGTCGAGCGCCTCTGAATCCTTGCTCTCCGTACTCTGCATACCGAGACTGTATCCGGACGCAGCGCTCTCGCGCGGAGTCGGCGTAATGGCCGCACTCAGGCGCTCACGCGCCTCATCCTGCGAGATATTTAGCGCGGCGATCAGGGACGCCATTGCGTGTTCGTTGCTATCCATTCGCTCATGGTGAGCGGCCGCGGTCGACGCTGCACCAAATGCGCCAGTGCGTACAGTGAGACTCGACTTAGTCGTGAAGAACGATTCTGAGTCAGATGCCCCTACACTCTGTGGACTAGACCGTGCGTGTGCCGACGCGGGGTCATCGAACGGGTTATGGTCGTGGAACGGATTAACCGACACAGCCTGTGGTTGGATTCTAGGTTGTGAATGCTCAGCAGGCTTGCGGATAGTCTCCTGTGATGACCGGATGGTGTGAGGGATGAGACCGCCATACACGTGTTCCGCACCATCCGGACTGACAACCTCCGCTCTTTCCCAACGAGGAATCTTTGTCTCGACAGCCGGAGGAGTCTGATGGCTGACAACCATGTTAGGGCTCACAGGACCCGGAACCTCCTTGATAGAGTCGCTACCGTGCTTGAGTGACAAATAGGATTGTCCTTCAGCGACAGTTTCTCCATCCCAGGAGATAGGAGCGTTTTCTACGCGAGTGAATGGTGGTTGCACTGTTGCACCTACAAAACTGCGGCCAGTACCGATGTCATGATCAGTGAACTCCAACTGAGGTGGCAAGTCCGGAGTCTTGAATGTTTCAGAGAGGCCGAGGTTCGTTCCGTAGCCGAGGCTCTTGAAAGTTTTGGCGCTTTTTGCGCTCTTAACCGTAATTGAGCGCCCAACGGCTGTAGCGCCCGTGCCGGACGATGGAGCGGTAGAAGTCATAGTAGTACGCTTGATAGCATACTTTTCGTAGCTTCCATCGCCATCCTGCTCTTCCATCTTGACCCATAATTCACGTCCGCTTTTACGGCGCTCAGCCTCTCGACCAGTTCCCTGCGGTGCATAGTTATTGACACGCCGCCTCGAGAAGTAGAAAAATAGAAGCAGAATGGCACTGAGGCCAGCGAAAACGCCAACACATATGCCTATGACAGTTCCGATAGGGATCGAGCTTGATGAGTTTGCTGACTGGGACGTCTCCGAGTTGGTGGGGCCTGCGGCAGTATTTGATGACGAACTTGATACAAGTGACAGTGTCGTCGGAGACAACACCCCTCCTCCTGTTGCTGAGTTATCAGCAACTAACGACTCTGTGTTGATTTGAGCAGTGTTCGTGTTGAGAGTCGCTGCCCCAGTGAAAGCAGCATCTGTTGGGGTCGGGGGGATGCTAGTTACTTGACGACGATGTACGCGATGCATGTCCCTTCCTCCAAAGGATAGAAAGAAAGACAGGTAAAGAGTATATATAGCCTCGAACGAAATCTGTTGTTAGAAGCCTGTGGTCGGTCGACAGGGACACTCAGAAGAACGTGACGACTTTCTGGTGAAAACGAAAACATACCGGCTATAAGTACACCTGCATCAAACCAAAACAGATTGATGCTAGCCAAGGAGGTGAAGAGATAGGGAAAACGAGTAAGGCGTAGGGCCACGGCGACGGGAGTGTCGAGGAGGATGGGAAAGGAGCGGGACGACGCGAGGAGGAGAGGAAGGAAGAAAGCGAGAGAGAATCAAACTAGCCCCGTATAAAGTAGCCGAGGCGATCAAAAATAAGGAGATCAACAAATCAAAAAAACAGATGATATGTCTATATTTGGGGTTTCATCCTTATCCGCGTTTGCCCTCAGCGGCGATTCCATCTCGTTCCCCGTACATGTTCGTTACTTCAACTCTTTTTGTCCATCGCATCCAAGTCGCACTTCTAAGCAGTTCCTGCTTGCCTTGTCCTATGGTTCCTTGAATGCCTCGTCGACTGTGCAGTCCGTAACAAATAATTCAATGATTCATCAAAGATGCCCATTCATCATTTCACGTAAGCCTTGAACCAATCAACTGGCCATCTCCAACAGTTGTTCGACCTCTGTATGCAGTGTATCCAATTGCTGGCATCCCTCTCACACATTGCTTCTTCCTATCACCTTCGTCGCTTCCTGTGATACCCCACATGCGAACTATGGCTGCTTCCATACAAACGACTCTCAAGCTGATTACAAATGAACCAGCTGGTGTTCCAATTCGGTTAGATCCCGTTGTGTTAAATCTCACATAAGTCTTCGAGCAGCACCAACGCACATCAGAGGCGGTCAGTTCTTGACAGGACAAGATAGTTTGACAAACGTTAGTGACCGGGATAGGTGACCAGGGAGCTATTTCTAGCATCTACAGCAGGGGGTGCGAATTTTGTCACGGCCATCCTTTCACTCTCTTCCTACTTGCGACGCGCCCTCTTGCAAGCGGTGTGGCAAGCTTTCGCCATATACGAGCAAATCCGTGTTAGCCGCTTTCTTCATTGGTGAACGAAACCTCCCATTTGAAGTGTTACCTGGGTAACCAATTTAACATACGGAATTTGCCTTTACTCTCCATTACTAGAGCATTAAGCGCTCAGTTTGCGCAAGTTCTGCTTCTCAAGCGCAGGCTCCTATAAGCAAGATACTTTATCACCACAGTATTACTCTTTTAACTATTTCATATTATTGCTTTGTAGGAACAAGATAAGGTTTTGCCGATCCCACTTTGCTTCATAGAGTCACATGATGTGTATACAAACATGCAAACACAGACTGCCAGACACTTGCAAGGGCAAGAGCCTATCTCATCATTAAGTGATAGCAAATTCCTTCTCTTGGTAAACGTGTGTATTATTAAGATAGCAGCATTGCATAATCCAGAATGCTACTACTGTAATGGCAAAGCAAAGCAAATTCTAGTATTAATAGAGGCACTAGTCTGTAATACAAGGACTCACTCTCCTGACTCCTGAACAACCTGCAAAGCCATGTCTAAAACACAGCACTTATATTATAAAATAAAGGTTAAATACAATAAAAAGAAATTTAAGAGATTGGTGACAGTACACACTGAAATACACAAGGATAATAAAAGAGATAATAAAGGGTTCTGTGATGATTCAGACGGAAAGCATGAGGGAGAGGATATTCTGCTAGTTCTCAGTGTCACAAGTAATCCTGATGTAAGTAAGCGCGATCAGTATCAAATATATATTACTAATTCTCGGATACTGTTCTTAATTATAACTGTGATTCTCACAGGAACTATATTACTCTTTTTTAAGAAAAGATAATCATAAAATTGAGATAAAACACAATGATGGCACTTATGATGTAGGCAAGATAAAGCTGCCGAAGAAAGTAGGCAAGGTATCAATAAAACTAGACAAGACGACAGAAGGCCACTGGATTAAGATAATATGTTGGTTTGAGAACTTTGAAGAATGTGATTGCTTTGAACCTGAAGAACTTAATGAGTACATTGAACCAGGCACCGAGTACATAACATTGTAGCAATTGTTCCGGCATGATAATGTGCAAGTATGATGTAATAAATAGTTTTGGGAATTATTAGTCCGATTTAATTTTCGATAAAACTGAATGAAGAGTATTAGTAGCACCTCAAAGAAGGCACCCTTCTTGTTGAAAGCATTGTGGAGACAGATTGTGAGGCTACAGGACATACAGGTATCTTCTTGGACAAATAGGGATTATATGTGCTATCAGGCTCACTATGCTAAATTTCTTACATGGATAGTACTTTAGAGGGATACGGCATCTTGACTGAGCTAAGTCCAAATGTGTCCCTGAATTCACGACTATCCAATGCCATTTAAAGGCAGTCGGTGAGCGTGGCGGTAGATTTATACTAACTTCCGCCATTGATTACTGTACCCACCATAGTCGCAGTCCAAGAAGTTCAGGAAAGAAGGTGATCGGAAAGCTAACTTGGGGCCAGAGAGAGTCCGAGAGACCACGAAACTTGCTATGCTTGACCTTTCTCTCTTTTCACAGGCTATTCGCCTACCTGAATGAGGCAATTCTTGTCATGTAGCATAACTTCCAAATCCGTGCTAGTTGCGTTTCTCAAATTCCCATGAGGGGACATAAACTCAATGATTTGACACGTTACCTGGGGTGGCCCAGCTGAGTAACCAAAACTTAGCCAACTTCGGAGCTTGCCTTCATTCTCCAGTTCCAACACACGCATCGCCGGGTTTGCTTCACGAGCGCCAGCGCCCATGATTAAAAGTACTGTAGGCTGAGGTATCATAATACTATTGCCCTGCATGGAACAAAGGTGACATCATGCCAGCAAAGTTCCGAGCCTGCATCAAATTTGGAAGTCACGTGACATGCATCCAAAGCATCCAAACAAAGATTCCAAACTGTAACAGCTTTGATGTACAAGAGGCAAACTCACCATAAAATGATAGCAAAGTTCTTCTCTTAGTCAGGATTGTATTAATAAGAAATTATTATTGTGAAATTCAGACATTGTTGCTGCCATCACAAAGCAAAGCAAGTTCTGGAATTAAAGAGGTATTATTACAAAAAAGTTGTAACACTTGTATTAGATTATAACCAGGTATATTTTATACTTTTTGTAAATTTTGTTAAAGCAATTATATTCTTCATAAGGGTTTTCACAAGTTAATTATAATTTAAT